TTCTTTGATGCCTGATACCTGATCCCATCGACACCTCGTGATCACATAGGCTGGTGGGTTTTGTTGCTTCTCAGCTAGGTGGCCGCTTGTTTATCTTCAAGCCTTTAAGACCCCAGACGCTATGTCTTTTGATAGCTGGCCACCATCAGCTTTCTTCACCACCTTTGCTTATGCACCCTCTTTGTCTTCAGCAATCGTGTTTTCCCTCCAGATTGTTTATCTCACCTGTCTTAAGGATGATGAGATTTTTATGTAAACTTTTTGAAGTCTATAAAATACATCACTCTTACGCTTTCTCTATCATTTAGTTCAAGCTTTACCTTTGTTTGAATGGATGAGCCACACCTGACTAGTTTGTTTCTTAGACTTTTTCAACAAATTGCAAGTAACATTTGAGTTTTTAAAGCACATTGTCAATATTTATTCATTTTTATTTAGAAAAACATAACATGTTTTTTTTCTTTCCTTTATTTTGAAGTCAGTGTCAGCATTTTCTCCAATTTGCAACCCTGTGCTCTGTCCTTGGGGCAAAAAAGCCTTTAGTGGATATTTGGGATCAGATCAAAGTAAATGGAAGGTAAGTATTAGATGGCTATCTTGATATGACAGATTGTTTTTAACTAAGTTTTTGAACGTGCCAAAACTCTGTCTCTATATAACAGAAACATTAAATTCATAACCCATTCAAGTGCGTGCAGGCTCCAGAATTAAGAATAAATAGCAAGAGCGTATACATGTTGTGAGGTACCATCAAGTCAGTTCTGACCATGGCGATCCTATGCACGACACATGGAAACACTGCAGGGTCCTGGTGCCACCCTTACAATGCTCCTGTGCCTGAGCGCACTGCTGCGGCCACTGCGGCCGTGCGTCTTGCCGAGGGGCCCTCCTCTTCTTCCCTGCCCCTCCAGATGACCAAGCACGATGTGTCTTTTCAGGGCCTGGTCTCTGCTGACAATATGTCCAAAGTATATAAAACAAAATCTTGCAATCCTTGCATCTAAGGTGCACTGTGGCCGTACTCCTTTCAAGACAGATCAGTTTATCCTTTTAGGAGTGCACGGTACTCTAAATAGTCTTCTCCAGCACCACACTGCAAATGCATCCATTCTTCTACAGTTCCTTATTCCACGTCCAACTGTCACATGCATGTGAGACAATGGAGACTACTCGGACTTGTGTCCGGTGCACGCTAGTCCTCAAAGGAACAGTCTTGCTTCTCAATACTCGAATGCATCTTTGGATCTCTCGTGCTGCTGCCTTGAGTATTGATTGTGGATTCCGGCAAGACACACTCCTTGACAACTTCAGCCTTTTCTCCATGTATCCCAATGTTACCTCTTGGTCCAGTTGTGAGGATTTTCTGCTCCTTTACATTGAGTGGTAATCCTTGATCTTCATCAAGAAGTGCTTCAAGTCCCCCTCACTTTCAAAAAACAAGGTGGTGTCAGCTGCGTATCGCAGGTTGTTCATAAGCCTTGCTCCGACCCTGATGCCCCATTCCTCTCCATCTAAGCCAGCTTCTCGGATGACTTGCTCAGCGTACAGAATGACCAAGTCTGGTGAAAGGATTCCACCCTGATGCATAGCTTTTCTGATTTTGAACCCTGCGGTCTTCCCTTGTTCTGTTCTCACCCCTGCCTCTAGATCCATGTACAAGTTTCTCATGCGCACACTGAAATGTGTTGGTATTCCCATCCTTCTTGAGGTTATCTAAAGTTTATTAGGGTCTACACAGTCGAATGCCTTGGCACAGTCACTGAAACTCCAGTAAACATCTTTCTGGTACTTTCTGCTTTGAGCCAGGATGCATCTGGCATCAGCAGTGTTATCCCTTGTTCCACCACCTCTTAAGAATCCGGCCGAACCTCTGGCAGTTCTCTCTCAGTGTACTGCTGCCACCATTGTTCGATGCTTTGAAGCAACATTTTACTTGCGTACAGTATCAGTGATCATGTTCTGGAGGTTAAGCATTGGGTCGGGCCATGTTTCTTTGTCATGAGCATAAATACGGATCTCTTCAGTCAGTCGGCCAAATAGCTGTCTTCCAAATAGATGAATGAGTTCTTCCAGTGCTTATTTCCATTGGTACTCCATCCATTCCTGGAGCCAGCAAAGCGCACCTACAGATACATATGCAAAGAAAGAGAGCGACACTACTTTTCTCATCGTCCTGAACTGTAGCCAGTATGCTAAGGTTGAGCTTTGGGTGCTACTGTTACTCCCTTTCAGTGTTTAATGCTCGCGTATATTTTCACTTACGAATTAATCATAGCAAAACATACCACATATTATTAAACTTAGACTTGCCTGGTATTAACTCTATCCTCAATTATACAATAACAACCAGGAGACCTAGCAATTATATTATTTGGCGTCTATTTCAAATCTTACATCTCAGATTCAGGTTTTAAACTCCAGCCTTGCTAATGTTCTGAGATGGATATTACGTAATTTACGTGGATGTGACTATTCCCGACGACAGGACTGCCTGTGTAAGCATGGGCAGTCGGTGCTTTGAGATGGGGATAAAAATGGCCCTTCCTCTGGGGGACATGGTGTTCTTGTGTAGCCATTATGAGCACTGGAGCGTTGTTAAGTTTTCTAGATGAACTCTGAGTGTCGAAATGGCCTAGGACTAGGAGCTTTAAGAATGATGTATACGTACAATTGTATTTTGAGTTTTCAGTTCTGAGTCTTGTGAAGGAGAAGACCGTCTTTCCCATTCGTGGGGACTATGTTGTAATCTGAGAACGAGGCGGCTGTTGTTTAATTTTCCTGTTGGGATAAAGAGGAATAAAGTTAGAAGTCTTAGAAACTAGAAGCAGCACAGTTTGGTAGGTCACTTCCGCTTCCTCTCCTGGCTTAACAGAAGCACAACGTCAAAGGGAAACGTGCTTGGGGGTTTGATTTGTTATGGTCAGTGCATAAGCGGTGCAGCCTGTGAAGGTGAACTGATAATCAAGAATACTGAAATGTGGCAGGTGAACTATAACATTGGCAGCACCTCTGATAACAAAATTGTCAAATCAGGTCTTTCTGAAAGCTCGTGGGAATGAGCAGGCGTGGTGCTGTGCAGTAGATGGCAAAAGACAGGACTGGATGTCTTTCCGTCTAGAACTAGAGCCAATGGGGATAGACTTAAAAAAATAGATGACTATTTTTATACAAATAATATGCATGTCAGACATTCTCTGCCCATGCACATTCATTTCATAAGCCTGTATTTCAGAGTGGCCTACTGTTCGCTGGCTCCACCCTCCCTCTGCCATTGCATGTGGTTTCTGGACTTGTGTAACACCGTCGACTCGGCCATCCTGATGATTTGAACTCCCAAATCCCAGACTATATCCCTTCATCCCACGTTCTTCTCTTGGAAGTCTCCGACAGGTGGTCAGCCACCACACCTAGTGTTTGCAGCTTGCCCATGAGCCCCCAGGTGTGATTCCTGTGTGGCCACCAGCTTAGTGAACGTAGCCTTGAACGTTTTTGTCTTTGTAAGTATCCACACCATTTAAAATTCATCTACCCATACCCTCATAACTTGACAGTCCATCCTCCTTCCTGATTACAATAACCAACCATATAGGTGGGCAGTTTTGTGAGGGGCCTGGTGAAACTCTCTTGAAAATCACCATCCTTCTAGGTTGTCCCACTCACAGGCCTGCGAAGGACAAGAGTGGCTCGGGCCCTCTAGTGCCTGGTGGTTGTAATGGCTGTCATTTCCCCCCCAGAGCTGCTGCAGCGCTGGTGGTCAGAATGTAGGACGCCAGTGCAGAGACGCCTAGCAACCCTGTAGGGCAGAATGCAACTGCTCCCTAGGATTTCACAAGCTATAAGTCTTTACAGGAGCAGAAAACCTCCCCTTTCTGCAGAGCAGCTGGGTTCGAACCACCAACCTTATAGTTAGCATCCTAACATGTCATGCCACCAGGGCTCCTTCACACCATCATACTTAGCATTTACACTCTCCCTTCTTTGTGTTGTTGTTGTTTTATTTAGTTTGTTTAAGCCTACCCATCTTTTGTTCTCAGTCTCTGGGAAGGGACCAGCCTGCAGACTGGCTCTTGCCCTGACAAAAATGCCATTCCTTTTCATAAATTTAGAAATCCATATGCAACTTGCCTCGAAAATTGAAGTTCCCCTTTAATTTGCCAGAAGTTACACTTTGGTCTGGAGTGTGACAGCAGAGGTAGCTGGAATGTGCTCCCTTCGAGCAGTTACGGAACACATTCCTGTAAGTCGGTGCCCTGGCAGGCGGCTTCCCTGTGGGCCAGGGGGTGTGTTCTCATGGATTCACCTGCTCTGGCACGTTTTCCTTTCTCCAATCCTGGGTGGATGACTTTTCAAGCTCAAACTGCAGCTCACTGCTGCTCTGTTACAGGTTTTCTTTGGTGTTTTTGCTCTTGCATCTTTTTTCAGTTTGAAGTCTCCTGCACAGGCCTTGCATTTAATTCCTGACGTCATCTTCGGGGGGTTCTAAAAGTTTTATAAAGTGAAAAGGTGCACATGTAGCTGATTGCACCTAGCAATGAGATCTCAAAATTCAAATAGCAGGTGCACAAGAAGCACGGGTCTTTTATGTTCTCACAAGAGACTAAGGTGACTCTCCATTATTGATCAGACGTTGGCACTAATAAGGCACAGGTCAATGTAAACTCCTAGGAGGGCTCTGAAAGGTTGGTGGCAGTTTCCCACGAACTCCGAAGCCCTCTCATGACCAAGTCCAGCGTAGCACCATGGCTTTAATGGGAAGATGATCTGAGAAGGTTTCCATGGTCATTTCGTCAGTGTTCCTTTGCGTGCCCCGCCAGTTAAGAGCCAGAGTCAGAAGATGGCTGTGGTAGTGTGTCAACACAGATTGAATTGAGACTCCTTGAAGCCAGCGCAGCTTCCCTGGGTTTATGGGCAGGCTTTAGTAGTTACATGTTGGACTGCAATTGTCAAGGTCAGCAGTTCAAAACCACCAGCCGTTCCTTGGGAGAACGACAGGGCTTTCCGCTCAGTAAACAGTTATCGCCTCAGAAACCCCAGGGACAGTTCTGCCTTCCCTTATGGGGTCGTATAGGCCCGCATCCGCACCGTTGACGGTGAGTTTTTGTTGCAGTGGGTAGGCTCAAGGTTCCAGGTGTTGACCCAAAAGTGGCAACATGAAAGGTTTCCCCTTGTGTCATGACACTATGAGAACTAGATGGCGTCTGCAACCATTAATGAACATGTTGAGCCAAGGGTCCTGTAGCACAACCTTTATCCAAAGGAGGAGATGCAGAATGCCATTCGGATTTCTCTGGGGCCATAGCAGACGGGCCCGCCGAAGAGCTGCACTGACATAATCTTCACACTTTGCATCAAGCCGAGGAAATAGACCGGCTTAATTCGTCTCCTCTGCCCGCCCTTGGACATTATGCTCTTTTAAGAACGATAGAGTGGATCAAATTGAACAGCGACAATCCAAAGGCGCGGCAGAAAACTTGGAGCGCAGAGAGTGTTCCTGGGGAGCAGATGTCAAAACAGCGTGGTAGGAATGGTTGCTCGCCACAGCCTGTAATTGGGGCCGTTGGGCTGTATGGGCAGAAATCGGGGGATCTGTACGCATTGTGCTGTATGTGTCTCAACAACTAACCTAAATTATGGCAAAGAAGAGACCACCCAACCACGAAGGTTCAGGACACTGGCTTCTCACTTGAATGAGGAAGAGGCTGTCGTTGGGAAATAGACTTCTGAAGACCGTGTCAGGAGAAGCCAGGCGAGTCCAATTTAAAACCAGCACGGAAGTCTATTTCTTATTTAATCATCCTATGGTTTAAATAACCTTACATTTTTATGCGATGCTAGGGTAGCCTGAAGGATCCTTTTTAAAGCACTGTTTCATTGCTTCTTCAGTGGGTCTCCTTTTTGTTTTTCCTGGCAGGCTTACGATGCGACTCATCTGGTGACGTCCTACCCAGGCTCTCAGCTGGACATCCTGATTGACCAAGGGAAAGATGACCAGTTCCTTTCCGATGGACAGCTGCTTCCTGATAACTTTATAGCTGCCTGCACAGAAAAGAAAGTCCCTGTTGTTTTCAGATTGCAAGAGGCAAGTACTGCGAAGCCATTTTGTTCAAAATAATGTTCCTGAAAAAGCAAAGCTTCGTAAGTCGTCTCTCTGCCTGTCTGTCTCTGTGCCCCAGAGTTTTCTAAGTTGTAATCTTTATGGACGCAGACATTTTTCTCCCACAGTGACTGGGGTGTTCAAACCACTACCTTTTGATCAGCACTGATTGCTTGACCTCTGTGCCCCCCAGGGCTCCCTTTAATCGCATCAACTCATTTTACCCTCACACAGGGGTCAAGTCTAAAAGTATTGCTACAGATAGTAGAAACTTTATTACAGAAAAATATCAACATGTGAAGCTATCATTTCCTGACATGATAACTTTCTACTCCCCTAAAGATCTCCAAGCTCAGAATCCCACGGAGCTTCCAGAGGGTCGCTGTGAGTCAAAATCAGCTCTGGCAGCAAGTGGAGAGGGGTTAGCCTCTGCCAACTCAAGAACTACATGCGTGGGCAGTGCTGTTCTTGACATAAGGAAACTGTCCGTTAGCTCTAAACAAATCGGCCAAGAGCCAAACCAGGTGGTTTTTCTACGGGCCTGATCTTGGAGGACTGCCACACCAACAGCCGCTCGGCTCAGCCTTCGTCGTGCCAGCAGCCCTGCCGCGTGCACTTCCATCGTTTGTCGAGGGCGAGAGTGCTTTTCAATCCCTTGGGTGACTTTTGTAAACTGCTGCTCCCAAGACACAGTCTGTACTCTGGAAGTAAGACAGGCCTTGTCCCGGGAAACCCACGCGTAAGTGCTTAGAAAGGAGCCACGATGGCATCGTGTTACCAGCTTGGCTGCTGGTTGCAAGGTCAGCAGTTCAAAACTACCCGCCAGTCCTCAGGTGAAAAAAACGGAGCTTTCTACACCGATAAAGAGTCACCATGGGAAGCTCACGGGCAGTGCCACCCGGTCCTGTAGAGTTGCTCTGAGTCAGCGTCCACTCGATGGCCGTGAGAAGTGCTTAGAAAGATCCCCTCCGGCTGCTTTTCTGCCCTCTGCCCCCTTCCCCACCAGAGATTCTTCACGAGGTTGAATCGAGCATTGAGTGGGGGTATCTTTCTTAGACTTTGTATTGCGTTCAGTTTATCCGACCTTGTATTTTAATTGTGTAGGGAAAGGGTCTGGCACTTAACACCTTTGGAAAGTACTTCCACGTAAATGTCCCCCTTTTCTGTGAAGCTCCCTCGTCGTTTGCTCAGAGGACACGGTAGAGTTGCTGGAAGCCCATGTTGCCCCTCTACCTGCGCACGTACTTGCTTGCCGTCCACCAGGCACAAGCTCTGTCTCAAGCAGAAGCTGTCGGCTCAGCTCCTGGGCCCTCTACGCTTTGTTTCATGGTAGTTTTCAAAAGGGTTCATTGTAGCCAATTGAGTATGTGAGCGTACGTAAAGTACATGGAAAAATTCCACTACCTTTTCATTCAGTTTTTCCACAGACTTTTTGAAGTCCCCTGTGTTTACCAAGCGGGCTATATTCCAAAGCCTTGTCAGGTTTAACGGATTCTTCTTCCTTCAAAGTGACAAGGTGCCTTCAGGGTATAAGAGGGGAACTCGGCTCTCTCTTGAGCTGTTTGGCGCACACACAGGAGGACCGGGCTTTGTCTGCTGCCTCCTATCTACTGCTTCATGTGCTTATTTTGTGTCTAAACAGGCACTTGATTGTTGATGTCGGTGTGTTTCTTAGTGAGCAGAGGCGTCCCTCCTAAGCTCTGTAAATCCCTGATTCTTTTCATCCTTCTGATGTGGCCACATCTATACTCCGCACATTTAATTAATATGCCATCTCCCGAGCACATTAATGGCATTGTTGGAAAATGGGGCTCGGCAGGGTGCATCTCTATTAGTCTTTGTGGCTCTTTTAATAAACCCAGTGCAAGATACTCATGTGCAGATGACCTTGATTATTATTATGACCCTTCTTTGATTATAGCACTCACCCTTTACAAGCAAACAAGGTGCCATGGTTAGTTTACTTATCATGTGGAATTTGTCTAAATGTCAGACCGATACCTCATTATCTCTCTCTTTTGTCTTCTAGGGTTATGATCACAGCTACTACTTCATCGCAACCTTTATTACCGATCACATCAGACACCATGCAAAGTACCTGAATGCGTGAGAGCCCTCAGGTGCTAGAATCTCTCTGGAATGAGACCGGTCAGAGTAAACTGAACGACAAAGGAAAAGAGATGATTTCCAAACAGCGGACTTCATAATCCTGAAAGGGTTTCATTCTACAATCAAAGCTCCTGAATAAATACATGGAACCTACTTCTGATTTTAAATTTCTTTTACCAGGGTTTATGTGGGAATCTTGAATAATTTATAGCATTTTTTGAATTCCTTTGGAAATTCGTACTATCGTGACCTCCGATCATACGATACAAATGCCTTCCGTATGAGCACTGGGGAGGAAGACATGATCTTAGCTCCAGCCCCTCCCCTTTCTAGACCTTCACCTGTGCAGGCAGAACCCTGCTGGCTAGTGGCTGAGTGAAGAAACCGATTTAGAAATGTTAACGAGAATTCCCTATCATCACACCGCTCATTTGTGGGCAGATAAGATTGGAAACCATATTGTTTCTTGAGCCAATGATCCTATCTATTAAACCAAATAGATCTGTGTGTATTAAGTTTCTAAAAAAGGAGTTTAGGGCTTAGGTGCTAACCCAAATGCTGGTAGTTGGACCCCGCCCAGCAGGGCCACAGCACAGTGACCCGAGGTCGGCCTTGTAAGGTTCAACTAGCAGCCCCTCTGCGTCAGAGCAGAACTGACCCCAAAGGGTTTCCAAAGCTATCATCTCTACGGAAGCAAATGGCTCGTTCTCTTTCTCTTACTGAGCAGCTGGTAGGTCCCAAGCACGGACTTCCCCACAGTGCCACTGAAGCTCCCTTTGTAAAGATTGCACCCTAGAGAGCCCAGGGAGCCGCTCGACTGTCACGGGTCACTGAGTTGAAAATCCACCCGTTAACAGCTAACCAGTCTCTAAGTAAGTAATGAGATCAGGTATGAAAATAGCAAAGTCAGGAAAACTAAGGTTCACATGTGATTGTATCTGCAAATATTTTCTGAGTCACATGCAGAAAAGGTTAACCTGGTGAACAAACTATGAAATGTAATCAGTCTCTTTGTAAGTATGAAACTGTGTTATTTTAGTACTGTAATAAACATGTTTGACACTTGATTCCTGAAGACTGGTCTTACCAGCAGCAGTCTTTCTGTTAAAGCACATCAAGGTTCAACTCAGAGCAACCCTGTGTGTGTACAGCGGGACAGAGCGCCGCCTCTCCTTGTCCTGCGTCCTTCCTCACGCAGGTGGTTGTCTGAGCCCGTTGTGGCAGCCACTGTGTCGTCTGTCTTGTTGAGGACCTTCCTCTGTTTTGTTGCCCCCTTACTCTGCCAAGCATGATGGCCTGCCCCAGGAACTAGGCTCTCCAGATAATACATCCAAGCGTTAGATAACACCCAGCAAGAGTACATGTTTGTAATCAAAGAAGGCTGTTAAGTTCTAAAGGGTCCAACAATGAGACTGTCGGGTTTGATGCCAATTCCCAGTGACCCTGCCCTTTGTACAACAAAACAGTGCCGGGCCCCACGTTACCCTCACCTTGGTTTTGTTTGGGCCCAGTGCTGCAGCCACAGTTCTCAGTCCTCGTGGGATTTCAGTATTGATCGTGCTAAGGAGCCCTGGTCGCTTGTGGGTTATGAGTTGAGCTGCAAACTTTAAGGTCAGCAGTTCAAAACCTCCGAGGAAGAAAAGGCTACCGTAAAGATTTGTAGCCTCTCTGCCCAGGGGAGCAGTCCGACTCTTTCCCACAAGTTCGCTCTGAGTCCGAATAGATTTGAAGACGTGAGTACCAAACCATGCCGGTTGCATTTGGAGTCGAACTGTCCACTGTGCTTTCAAAGCTACGCTCTGAGGAAGAAGGTAGCCAGAGTCTGGGTTCCAATGCTAATCGTTCATTTAGCGGCCAAGCATTTAACCACTGCACCACCATGGCTTCTTTAGATAGTACTGAAAATACAAAAATCAGTAATAATCCAAGGGAAATGGAGAGCAAGTGAGAAAAGTGACGTGACATTGTGGCATGGCAGTCAGTGAGATGAAGCAAATTGTGTATGAACTGTTAAATGGAAAACGAATCTGCTCTGTAAACCTTCGCTTAACTCACAGCAGGTTTTATAAAGGAGGGCTACTAAGTAAGTATGAGTAGTCAAGAGTTGAACCTGGTAATAACTTACATAGACGGCATTCTACACAAGGTTGCTCTTGTCCAGTCTTGTGCCTGCTAAGAACGAGCATTGAATGCATGACTGTTTTGCGTGTGGTCGATAATTCCTTCGTAAATACAGATAACTGTGTTGTCGTGAGATAATACCAGTCAACTCAACCAGAGAAGCAGAACTAGTAGGAGAAATGAAGATATAGCAACCAACTTCTCTGATTAAGGCTTTCCTTGTTCCAGGGGACAGGGGGCCTGCCACTCTACCACATGCTCTTGGTGCTGCCGCTGCCACTTCTCCTCCAGGTCTCTGGTTCACAGCCCTCGGTTTCTTAGAGAGAGGGGTTCCTAACACTGGGATCTTCTTTCGTGATGATAGTAACACCCAGCTTCCTGCTTCTGGGATGGCTCATGTTCTACCCAGCAGGATGGGAACATTGACTTAATTCTTGAATTAGAGTTTCACGTTTTTATAGTCAGGATCCTGTTAACAATCATTCACAATGGAATCATATAAGCCTGTCAGCATCTTCTTCCCCCACCTTCTCTTACCCATCAGTGAAAAAGGAAATCTACCCAATCTGCATGGTCTCACCTAGTCATTTGGTGGGAGTTACAAAGACTAGGGCTAGGAAATATCAAGAAAATCACTGCACTATAGTAACCTAGTGCTTAGCTAAATATTAGGGATAGGGTTAAGGGTTGGGCTATTGCGAAGCCTAACGATAGGGTTAGTTTAGAGTTAAATATAGTACTAGCGCCACACCTATGGTTTCATATAGTATTAGAATTATATTTAGTCTTAGAGTTAGGGTTAAGGTAGGTAAGAGTGTTGGGTTGGGCTAGGCCTATCAATTAGTCTATTGTTTAGGTTAGGGTTAGGGTTAAGGTAAGAGTGTGGGGTTGGGCTCGGCCTCTCAATTAGTCTATTGTTTAGGTTAGAGTTAGGGTTAGGTTTGCTGTAAGGTTAATTTGAGGGGTAGGTTTGGGACTTAGTAAGGAGTTTTGCTAGGTTTAGGGCTTGGTCTAGTGTTTGTTAGGTTTGGAGTTAGAGCTTATGGTTAGGGTAGGCATAGTGCTTTTTTAGCGTTAGATTAAGGTTTAGGGTTGGCGTGAAGGATTCAGAGCTAAGTTTAAGGTTGTACTTAAAGTGGGGTTATTCAAATAAGGTTAGGGTTATGGGTGGAATTACCGTTAATGTTAAAGTTAAGGGTTAGGCTTTACTGTTAGTGTTACTGTTTGGATTATGTTTAGAATTTGAGTTAGAGGCTACAGTTAGGGTAAGGGGTCAGCATTGGGGCTAGCTTTAGAGCTCTAGGTTGGACTAGGGTTGTCTAGTGCTTAGTTTAATGTGAACTTTAGGTTTGGTCTTAGAATTAGATGTTGGACCAAACTTGGGCTAGTGTTATATAGTTAAGGTTGGGAATAAAGGTAAAAATGGGGATACGGTTAGTGATAGGTGCAGTTTTCAGGATTAGGAATTATTGTTTAGGTTTAAGGTTACATAGAGTTATGGTTAGGGTTCAGATTAAGTTTAGGGAGTTGGGTTAGGGTAGCAGACAGGGCTAAGTTAAGGTTAGTACTACTAGGGTCAGGGTTAGAGGGATTCTTAGTGTTATGCTTTGTTAGGCTTGATTCTCTAGAGCAGCAGTTCTGAACTTGTGGGTCGTGACACTTTTGAGGGTCACACGACCCTTTCACAGGGGTTACCTTGTTTCCTAACAGTAGCAATATTACAGTTATGAAGTAGCAATGAAAATAATTTTATGGTTGGGGGGTCACCACAACATGAGGAACTGTATTAAAGTGTCACGGCATTAGAAAGGTTGAGAACCACTGGTCCAGAGACACAAATCCAGTGGCATTCAGCTACGTATAAAAATGAGTTTTATATAAAAAAAAATTATAGAGGAAGGAACTAGGAGGCAAAGGGCATTTATAGAGGTCTGAATATAGGCATGTATATATGTAAATATATTTATATATGACAATGGGGAAATAGATCTATGTGCATATATTTATAAGTTTAGTATTAAGGTAGCAGATGGACATTGGGCCTCCATTCAAATACTCCTTTAATGCAAGAACACTTTGTTCTATTAAACTGGCATTTCATGATGCTCACCTTCCTGACATAATCATTGAAGACAAATGGGTGCATAAGCAAATGTGGTGAAGAAAGCTGATGGTGCAGGACTATCAAAAGATATAGCATCTGGGGTCATAAAAGCTTGAAGATAAACAAGCGGCCATCTAGCTGAGAAGCAACAAAGTCCACATGGAAGAAGCACACCAGCCTGTGTGCTCACCAGGTGTCGATAGGATCAGGTATCAGGCATCAAAGATCCAGAACATAAAATCATATCATTGTGAATGAGGGGAGTGTGGACTGGAGACCCAAAGTCCATCTGTAGCAACTGGACATCCCCTTACAGAAGGTTCGCAGGGAGGTGACAAGCCAGCCCGGGTACAGTATAGCACTGATGAAACATACAACTTTCCTCTAGTTCTTTAATGCCTCCCCCCCCCCCACTATCATGATCCCAATACTACCTTACAAATCGGGCTAGACCAGAGGATGTACACTGGTATCGATCAGAGCTGGAAATACAGGGAATCCAGGACTGACAACCCCCTCAGTACCAATAGTGAGAGTAGAGATATCAGGAGGGGAAGGGGAAGGTGGGGGAGAAAGGGGAACCGATCACAATGACCTAGATATAACCCCCTCCTTGGGGGATAGACAATGGAAAAGTGGGTGAAGGGAGACATTGGACAGTGTAAGACATGAAAAAAATAATAATTTATAAATTATCAAGGGTTTGTGAGGGAGGGGGAGTGGGAGGGAATGAGGAGTTGATACTAAGGGCTCGAGTAGAAAGCAAATGTTTTGAGAATGATGAGGGCAACAAATGTACACATGTGCTTGACACAATGGATGGATGGATGGATTGTGATGCGTTGTATGAGCCCCCAATAAAATGATTTTTTTTAAAGTAATCATATCATTAGGCATCCTGGCCTAGCACAACTTAAGTCCCTAAGTCTGATAAGCTGGGGTCCTCTTCAGACTCATGCAGCCGCAGGCTAATCACGTAGAAAGGTGAAGCGGGATGCAGGAAGATCACAGGCTGCCAGGAGACGCAGCTGAGTGGACCCGAAGTTGGTGGAGACAAGGCAGGGCGCTGACAGCTCTCAAGGTCAGGTGGCCCACGTGGTGCTGACCCTGGAGGCAGGCAGAGACCCAGCAACCAAGAAGGTAAAGGGGAAGAGAGAGAGAGAGAATAGGAAGTCCCCAGTTTCTCCCTTCTAAGAAGGCCACACCCCAAGGAGGCCTCCTCAGGCTGTGACCTGATGCACAGGTTGGATTTCAACCCTACACATCCACAGAAATTCAAGTTAACATAACAGCCAACTTCCACAGCTTTTAGTTACATAGCACCCAACCACCACAGGTTTTCGTTATGTAACACCCAATTATCAGAGCTTTCAGTTATGGGTCAGGGTTAGGCCCAATCATGGCTAATTTTACAAGTTTCACAAGGGCTGGGACTAGGCTTGATCGTGTTTTAGGCCTAGTTAGTGTTAGGGTTATAGCAAGGTTTATGGGATGGTAAGTGTTAGGGGTAGAATAGGATTATGGTTACAGTGTTGTCAAGATAGGGATAGGGTTGTAGTTTGGTATGCTGTTAGGTTTAGAATCATAATTTGGGGGAGATTTGGGGTTATTGTGAGGTGTCAGTCTAGATCTAAGCCTAGGGCTTGGTGTCGTATTAGTTACTGTTAATCCTTAGGGGTTAAGGATTAGGTTTAAGATTTGGGGCTAAATTTAGGCTAGGCCTAGGGCCTGGCCTAGTATTAAGATTAGGAGTTAGTGTTTACATCAGGGTTACTGGGGGATAGGGTTAGATATTGGGGTATGGGTTAGGGCATTTGGGGGTCAGTTAGGGCTAGTCTTGGTCTTGGTCCAAGGTTAGGGTCAGAGTAAGGGTTAGGGTTAAGGACATGAATTACTGTTAGCCTTAGGGTTGATGGGCCAATGTAAGTGATGGGCTTAGTTAATAATGGAGCTAAGATTAGGATTATGGTTAGGATTAACGTTAGGTCCAGGATCAGGGTACAGGTTACAGTTAGAATTAGGGTTAACAGTAGGGCTAAGGCTATGGAAAAGCCTGAAGTTAGTGTGAGAGAGTTAGGAGTGGGTAAGAGGTAGCATTTCTACCACTCAGCTATCAGATTGGGGTCCTATTGAGTGTTACGATGATGCTGGAAACAAAGCCACCAACATTGCAAATACCACCAGGTGGTTTCCGTGGATCTCCCAAACTAAGACTGGCTGAGGAAAAGGAAGAGGTGGCTCACTTCTAAAAACTAGCCGTGGTAGGGGGAAGGTGGGCAGAGGAGTTGGGGGTGGAGGGGGGGGGGGGGGGACAGCAGTTGGTGTAAGATATGAAAATAATAATAATTTATGAGTTATCAAGGGGTCATGAGGGGGTGAGCGGGAAGAGGGAAAACAGAGGAGTTGATGCCAAGGGCTCAAATAGAAAGTTTAAGTGTTTAGAAAGTAATGATGGCAACATAGGCACAAATATGCTTGACCCAATTGATGTATGGATTGTTATAATATCCAATTGATGTATAATATCCATATGTATAAAAGACCAGTTATTCAAGTCTACACACCAATCACCAAGGCCAAAGATGAAGAAACTGAAGAATTTTACCAAATTTTTGTAGACTGGAACTGATCCAACATGCACTCAAGGTGAACTGCTAAGTCCTGGTGATCGGAATGTGAAAAGTTGGAAACAAAAAGGATTAGCGGTTGAATATGGCCTTGGCGATACAGGCAAAGCTAGACCCCCAGTCCGCACTCCACTCCCCACACTTCTTTCTGGGTGGAAGTTCGTCCTGATTTCTGCTCTATTCTTTCTTTTTATCTTTTGTAAAGATTTTGCAGACTATCCCCCAGGAAACCCCCCTTTCTTCTGACCAACACTGTGATCAGATTGAGGGTGTTGCACCTCACCTTTCGTCCCCTTCCTGACTGAAAACACTGAATCACACCCGGGGAGTCAGGGCATAAGCATCAACTGCCAGCCAGAGAATTACGATCACGTTGGTAAATGTTTTCTGGGGTAAACCTGCTGTACAATTAATCCATGGCAGTGTCCCATGTAAACCAATAGTATTTAGATGGATGGAACATTTTAAGGAAGACTAGGAATATCTCAAAGATGAGCCAAGAGACGGAAGGCTTTCAACTTCTACCAATATAGAAACTGGTGGGTTTGCCTTACCATCACCACCGATGCCGGGGTCTCATAGGCTTTAGCAGCATCTCCGATCTGAGGTAGACATTTGATATCACCCAGCATCGGGCTTTATGTGTGTCCAATTTGTGTCAAGATGAGCTGGCTCAGAGAAGATCTGCCCATCAGTCTTTGAAGCAAGATCACACATAATGGAGATGACTGTAAGGAAACCATCGTAAGTGGGATGAGCCTGGCTTTACCAGCATCACCCAGAGAGCACGGTCCATTCAAAGAAGTGGCTCCCGAGGTGATCTGCTGGGCCAGGTAACTTCCAGGCAGCAATGTCAGATCAGAAGGTTATGGAAGCGGGGAGGATTCCAGAGAGATAACCTTGACAAGACATTCTCAAAGGACACAGGATGATCACAGGAGTTTATTATGAAGAATTGTTTAAAACATGAAAACTGCCCTTTTTATCTCGTTCAGGGAGTGAGGACTCTTTTGGGAAGGGTTGGAGAGATGGAAGCATCACTTTTTTTTTTAAAGTATCACTTTTAGGAGTGTACAGACCTACATAGAGGACATGAGGAACAATAGCTTCAAATTTGGATACTTTTGTTTAATAAGGGGTTCTATGATTTTTAATGCTTTTTACTTACCCACACATACATGTGTTTGTTTACAGATATAAAATCACATTAGGTGTTCATTATGACGTTTCCATATATATTTTTTTAAACCACAAGCATTAACCACTGTATCAGATGGACGCATCAATCTGAAGATAGTTCATACAAAGTCAAAGTTTTAATGACCGTTAAATAATAAAAGGAAGGATATTTGCACTAGGAACATTCTATTCGCATACGACACTGTCAGCTGGCCATGCACATTTATTGCACATATAAGCAGTATACAAGGAGAGAAACATGTTCACCAGAAAAGGGCTCCATTAAAAATGCTGTGCGACAAAATACTGAAGCCATTGCTATTATTCAGTCCACTTCAAGAAAATTAATCTTGCAAAGAAAAACACAAAACTTCTCTAAACAATGGAGCTTCGTGTCGCCATATAGACAATATAAAAAATATTTTCAGACCCTGCATTTTGAATGCCCACGAAGGTGCAGCCATCTAAAGTCTTCTTTATAGAACCAACCTTTGGATGTCGCTTACCTCGTATCTGCTTTGTTCAATAACTCTTCTTTCTTTACATCAGTACGCTACTTGACACACAAGCATTTGTGCAGTACAGGGAAGTAGTAAAATATACTTTGTTAAAGTGCACATGGCAGAGAACACCACTGCTAGCTGCCAATCCCGATGGCTGTTTTGTTCCGTTCCCCTAAACCATCTCGGTGCTGCATTCCTTGCAGCCGGTCCCTTCTTCCGCGTGTCCTTTGCGGTCGGTCCCCTTTACATTTGTCTCAGATGCTGAAGCTGCGGTTCCTGCTGAAAAATGCGCAGTGGCGTGGGAGAGAAGAGGATGCAGCCGGCATGTACAAGACGCTCAGAGACGCGTGTCGGGTGCATCTAAGCAGCTTGAGGGTACGTGCATCCAACTGCCCAAAATAGACAAGTGTGTGTTCCATGAAGCCCGGGCACATCGCTCAGACCCAGTTTCCGTGGCTGGTCCTTCTCCGAGAGCTTTAGCTCATTCCCCTCTTGGCCACTCCACCTCGCGAATGCCACTTACCTCACCTTCTCCTTCCCCGCTGCTCCCCGCCTCCAGCTCACTGCTGCCTCACAGCTGAGACCAAGCCTCCTCTGGAAGGCAACTCGCAATGACCCTAAGAGGGGTGCTTCTACTCAGAACCCGTTTCCCTTCGGAAACTGGCCTTTGTACAAAGAGCTGGTTTGTCCTCTGTCAGTTTCCCTTAAGACTTCCTGGTTAAGCCATCGACATTTTCTCATCTCTCCTTTCCTCCCCATTTCCTCCCAATCTGCCTTAACCCAAATTATAGTGCAAACTTACACTTCAAGACATGTGATACTAACGCTTCTTAAGTCTTGCGTGGTGAAAATGGGAAGGATTTGTGCATAGCAGAAAAAGTATGAATTCCAAAAAATAACTGTTCACATTTTATCTTCAAGTTTAATATGTCTTTCTTTTTTTTTTAAATCACAGCTATTTACAAACAACTCTGGGGGGCTCTCTAGATTTCAGTCGGGTCGTTGCCCTGGGATGAGCTGCTGGGATGTAGGAAACTGGATGGAATGCAGAACTATAAATAAGACCCATGTTCCTCAAGCCACAGTGTAAATCATGTCTCCCCAGAAAACAGTTCTTGTCACAGAAGCACCGCGTTTTGCTTTTGCTTAAAAAAATTTTTTTCTGAGTCATTATACCCGAAAACATGATTACTGAGACCTAAGAGGAATAGAAAAGAACTCAATATTTATAATAGTAAAATAAAGTGTTTAACCACAAAAAAAGCAGTAATAAAATAGTCTCCTAATTTACAATTTGCATCCAAAGGATGAATAACAACTTACTAATAAATAATATTCATATAAATATTCTGCATGTCAAAAATAGTTTGTTTTTTTTTAAAGGCAATGGTCTCAAGAAACGTCCTGAAAAATTTGATGGTGTCCCCTCCCCCACTAAATAGAGAGCCGGTTTGGTTTTGGTGAAAACAGTTGTGCTTGGTGCTTTGGTAATGGCGGCCGGAGAATGCGGAAGGGACGAAGACAATTGTGAAAGGCATTGATGTGGTTAGTCCTTGTGAACCAGCCACCTCACTGGTTTCAAGAGACATCCCTTCCACTCTGAACATCACGGAGGTCAGTTCTGAAGGGGTCAAAGCTCTCCCAGAAGTCCTCCCACAGACTGAAAGCCTTGGCCTTACAACCAGAGTGGGGGAACCAACAGGCAGTGAGGGGGGGCGGGGGGAGGGGTATGGGCTCTGAGGGCAGACTCTGGGATCTCTGATGCAAGAGGCGCGGGGCCTCATGGGAAGAGAGCCTTCGGCAGGGTGACGTCGAGCAATGCTTGCACCGTAATACCAACTTTGACCAGGCCTTTCTCTTCAAGGATGTGATGGGGCAGGCAGAGTTTCTCCTGCGAGGAAGAAAAATAGAACATGAGTTTTTGGATGACTGGGTCCAAAGAATAAAACCTTGTCTAAATCACGGAGGGGGGGGTGTCAAGACAGCACCAGCAGAGGCCGATTTCTTCATCTTGGCCGGAGCATCCCTTGCTTGGCTGGTCCCACCACTGCAAAGACGTGCTCCTGTGTGCAGACAGCAGGATGCTTTTCCGCAAGGGAGTGCATGCTGTTCCAGACAGACTTAGCAGCCTGAAGTCTGCAACACACCTACATCTTAAGAAAGCTTCACATTAAATACTGCACTAGAGCAAGCCGTCAGGGACCGCGGCAACACACGCACTGCCATGGAGCTCATGCTGACTCACAGTCACCCTACTGGACAGGGTAGAACTGTCACCGTGTTTCCCAGACTGTAACTAGGCAAGGGAGAAGAGAAGTCCTGTCTTCCTCCTCCGGAGCAACTGGTGGTTTTGAACTGCTGACCTGGCAGCAGCCCAGGTGTAACCACTATGCCACCAGGGCTCCTCACGCAAAAATACATTTACTTTTATTTTCATAAAGTAAAATTACAGGCGGTATTGCATACATTTCAAGATAACTCAAATAATCATTTATACAAAGCTATAGTGATTATAAAGCACTATTTAATTCAGTTCATTTCCAGGGGTGTCTGGAATAGAGGTATATAGGTAGATTCTTCATATTTTATGAACAGCTTGTAAATTAAAAAAAAATAACTAGAGACTACAGTGCCCTCTCTAAGATTTCTTCACTAAACTGTCAAAGATACAGATAGCTGCTACCTCTCACACTGGAGGAAAGTAATCAGTATAACTTCTTGATGTAAAACCTTTCATCCTGGACACTGGGCCTCCACTCAGGTACTCCCTCAATGCAAGAATACTTTGTTCTATTAAACTGGCATTCCATGATGCTCACCTTCCCAACACGATTGCTGAAGACAAAGCAGGTGCATAAGCAAATGTGGTGAAGAAAGCTGATGGTGCCGGGCTATTAAGAGATAATAGCGTCTGGGGTCATAAAGGCTTGAAGGTAAACAAGCGGTCATCTAGCTGAGAAGCAACAAAGCCCACATGGAAGAAGCACACCAGCCTGTGTGATCACGAGGTGTCGAAGGGATCAGGTATCAGGCATCAAAGAACAAAAAATCAAATCATTGTGAATGAGGGGGACTGCAGATTGGAGACCCAAGACCCATCTATAGGCAACTGGACATGCCCTTACAGAAGGAGGAGATGAGCCAGTCAGGGTGCAGTATAGTAATGATGAAACATACAACGTTCCTCTAGATCTTAAATGCTTCCTCCCCCACTATCATGATCCCAATTCTACCTTACAAATCGGACTAGACCAGAGGATGTACACTGGTACGGATAGGAACTGGGAACACAGGGAATCCAGGACAGATGAACCCTTCAGTACCAGTGCCGAGAATGGCCATACCGGGAGGGTGGAGGGAGGGTGGGGTGGAAAGGGGGAATGGATTACAAGGATCTACATATAACCTCCTCTCTGGGGGATGGACAACAGAAAAGTGGGTGAAGGGAGACGTTGAACAGTGTAAGATATGACAAAATAATAATTTATAAATTATCAAGGGTTCATGATGGAGGAGGGAGCAGGGAGGGGGGGAAATGAGGAGCTGATGCCAGGGGCTCAAGTGGAGAGCAAATGTTTTGAGAATGATGAGGGCAACAAATGTACCAATGTGCTTGACACAATGGATGGATGGATGGATTGTGATAAGAGTTGTCTGAGCCCCCAATAAAATGATTTTAAAAAGACAAAAATACAAAGCACCTGTCCTCCTACAAAAAACAACGCAATTTCCTAACTTTACATCTCTGGCACGTGGGGCTGGTCTGATAGAGCAGTGTCCTTCCGGAGCATGTCGTCTTGGCTAGGAAACACCCCCATGACAAATGAGGCGATGTGTGCTCCGCACCCTCGACAGCATGGCCGGTGGCGGGGAGTTTAATGGGAGTGACAGGAAGGTCTAGGGAGTAGAATCATGGTTGAGCAGGGCGCCCGGGTGGATTGTAGGATGATGTCGCCTTCACACTCGTCTCGGCTGCGGAATCTACCTTGCTGATGCCTCAGTGCAGGGCCCCTCACAGATGACCGAGAGGTTGTCTGCTCCGAGCACCTGAAACGATCAGCCTGTTGCCCCTCCCGTAACTCAAACTGTCCTCTGGTCCGGTTCTCTGCCACCCTCTGAGTTGAAGTGGACTCGCTGGCAGTGGGCATCCTTTGGGGGCAATGCTTCGTGCAGTGGTGGGAGTCCAGGGACAGAATGCCTGTCTTCTCTGTGTGAGACTAGAGTAGAATTGGATGCCTGGCCTGTGCGCTTTATGCCCGGCCACTGTCTGTCTGCACACGGAGGCTTTCACGGCTCACTGTGACTCGGAACAGCCTTTCCAGACTCAGATGGGCCGGAAAGAAAGGCTTGGAGATACACATCCACTCGAAGGAGCGCTGACCCTGGCAGAGAAGCAGGCAGCGTGGTGCTTCATTGTGCACAGGGTCCCCGCAAGCCGGCGAGGGAGAGGGACGTCCTGGCTACACCAAGAATAGGAGAGAGCGCACCCATGGCATTCCGGTGACTGGTGTAGAGATTCTGACGGGGGCTGACAAGTTCAGGAACGGGCAAAGGAGGGGCAGGGGAAGCCTGTCATCAACAGGTAAGTGGGGGGGGGGGGTGAGGAACAGCCAAAGGCCATTTGCTGTCACAGTAGTCCTGCTATACACATCCAACAGGCGGAGGACCATGAAGCGAGCTGGGGCCCTGGGAGGAAACCACTCCATAAATTAGTTACATAGTCAGGGTGCGATGTAACAATGATGAGAAATACAACTTTCCTCTAGTTCCTAAATGTTTCCTCCCCGCCTCCACTACCATGACTCGAATTCGACCTTGCAAGTCTGGCTAGACCAGAGGAGGTACACTGGTACAGATAGGAACTGAAAATACAGGGAATCCAGGGCGGATGAGCCCTACAGGACCAGTGGTGTGAGTGGTGATACTGGGAGGGTAAAGGGAGAATGGGTAGGAAAGAGGGAACCGATTACATGGAACTGTGTGTGACCTCCTCCCTGGGGGACAGACAACCGAAAAGCGGGTGAAGGGAGACGTCGGACAGGGCAAGATATGACAAAATACCCATTTATAAACTATCAAGGGCTCATGAGGGAGGGGGGAGCGGGGAGGGAGGGGAAAAATGAGGACCTAATGTCGGAGGTTTAAGTGGAGAGAAAATGTTTTGAGAAACGATGTACAAATGCGCTTTACACAACTGATGTGTGTATGGATTGGGATAACAGTTGTATGAGCCCCTGATAAAATGTTAAAAAGGGAAAAAATTAGTTACATAGAACCCGCTGGGCTAAGTAGACAGGGAAGAGTAGGACCCTGCAAGGAGCAGGACAGATGGCCATCTATGAGGCCAATGACATGAGCAGAGGTACGGTCACCACCGAGTTCCCTCCAACGGATGGCGATCCCTTATGAGTAGAACTGCGCTCCACTGGGGTTCCCATGGCTACATTCTCAGTAGATCACCAGGCCTTTCTTCTGAGGCACCTCTGGGTAGACTCCCATTTCCCAGCTTTCTGTTTGCAGCTGCTTGTGTTAACCCTGGGCATCGCACACAGATACACTGATCGTGACCCTTCAGGAATTTGAGTTGCACGGTCGAAGGTATTTAGCGGTTCTTGTTGGCTGGGCTAGAACAGACACGCTTTCCTTTTTAACGATCGGGCAGTGCGTGGTAACCTGTATGCAACGAATAGGCGAACTCCCTCTGAAGAAGTGGTGCTGTGGGTCGCCGTTTTCCCAGGGGGTCACTCACATTGCCACCCCTCCCTCTTCTCAGCCCCGGCAAGCAGGGTTAGAAACGATGGGCAAGTCGGCGACTGAGCACCAAGCTGGCAACATCACTGAGCACGCGCTATCTGCCTGGGTCCAGCGCTCAGGGTTTGCACGGGCCATCGGCTCCCGACAGCTCTGCGTGGGAGATGGGAACCTCTCCGATTTCCAGAGAGGACACGCGAGAGAGTGTTTCACTGCTAGTCACGTGGCTGGCATGTCGGGGAGCCAGGATTCGAAACCACTGCTGACTCATAGAGGCACACACCTCCACGGCCTGCTGTTGCTCGGCAAGGAGTGTGTGCAGCCTCTGAGTGTGTGGAAGGCAGAGGCCTACAGGCCCTTGACTTCCACCCAGGAAGTTCATTGATTTAAATGAACAGGGATCAGAGACCCCTCTCAGCTCAGTGAAGGGTGTGAGCTCTGGATTCGGCAATGCCGCCTTCCCTTTGGGACCATGCTGTCCGAGCAGCAAACGTCTCTTGGGAACAGGCTGGGCTGCCATGGTTGTCTGTTCTCCTCGTTCTAGTTTTTTACGCCGCCAAATGGCCACACCCCTACTGGCAGGGCAGCTGAAAAAGGAAAAAGAAAAGTTGTGCCAGAGTAGAATTAGGTTCCATCTGGTTTTCTCGAAGTAGGTCACCAGGTCTTTCTTCGCAGGTGTCTCGAACTTCCATACTTTCTTTCAGCTGCTTAACCCCCTGGGCCACCTGCTATGCTACAGTGAAGTCTTAGAAGTGAGCAATATTTCCCCTTGTTCAGCCTGTTCAATGATAAAGACTAGATTCAAATAGAGCCTTACAGAGAACAACATCTTATTCAGTCTAAGAGACGGTCCAGCTCCACCCACCACATGAGCACTCAGATGGTCTGTGAGCAGAGTGGAGACCCCGCTGACCGTCTTCTACGTCCAGGGAAGTGGGGATCCCCTGGCCATCCCTACAGATCTCTTAGGTCTCGGTGTAAACATCCACTTTTCCAGGAAGTGGGCATGAACCTTTCCATGTTTCAAAAAAAATCCCAACACTGGCTCACCATAGGGATTTAGACGGAATTCCTCTTTATTCTGTACATCTACTACGTCGAGTCTCCAAGCAACAGCCTACAGGTCAATGCGACCGATAA